GGTTTCACCATGTTAGCCAGGATGGTCTCGATCTCCTGATCTCGTGATCCACTCGCCTTGGCCTCCCAAAGTGCTGGGATTACAGGCAGGAGCCACTGGGCCTAGCCAAAATCAATGTATTTTCGTAGAAGATACCTGTCAGGTTGTAGATGCCAAATGTCCACAGTGGATCTGGGTGTGGTAGCACACACTTGTAGTCTCAGCTACTCAGGAGGCTGAATTGAGAGGACCACTTGAGCCCCCAGGAGTTTGAGTCCAGCCTGGGCAATATAATAAGACTCCACTTCTTAAAAAAAAAAAAAAAAAAAAAAAAAAAAAAAAAAAACTCACAGTGGGGACCAGACAATCAATTAAAAATGAAAAACAGAACTCAAACCAATAAAAAATTAGTAAACTGAGTAATCCATGTTCCAGGCACCTGGGATGAGCAAGGCCCCTCTGCTTAGACCTACATTGAACTCTGGGCTGCTGGCAGCTCAGCAACAAATTATTGTGTGCTTTTTTTTTTTTTTTTCAGCAACAGGATCTCGCTATATTGTCCAGGCTGGAGTGCAATGGCATGATCATAGCTCACTGCCACCTCAAACTCCTGGGCTCCAGTGATCCTCCTCCTCACCCTCACAAGTAGCTGGGTCTACAGGCATGTACTACCATATCCAGCTAATTTTTAAGCAATTTTTTGTAGAGACAGTCTCACTATGTTGCCCAGGCTGGTCTTGAACTCCTTGGCTCAAGCAATCCTCCTTCCTTGGCCTCTGAAATGTCTTGCTTCTTGCCAATTTGGGGAGGGGGGTGTTTTTGTTTTTGAGACAGGGTCTCACTCTGTCACCCAGGCTTGAGTGCAGTGATGTGATCTCAGCTCACTACGGCTTCCACCTCCCAGGGTCAAGTGATCCTCTCGCCTCAGCCTCCCAAGTAGCTGGGATTACAGCCATGCACCACCACATTTGGCTAATTTTTTTTGTATTTTTAGTAGAGACAGGGTTTCGCCATGTTGGCCAGGCTGGTCTCAAACTCCTGGCCTCAAGTGATCCACTCCCCTTACCTCTCAAAATGCTGGGATTATAGGCTTCAGCCACCATGCCCAGTCATTTATCCCAAATGGACAGACATGAGACCCAAACCCCTCCCCAGAAGGGGAAGCCCTAAATAAGCCTGGAACGTGGGGCAAGGGACAGGCTGCCGGGGGGAGTACACTGCTGTCCCTAAGATGAGGCCCCCGAGGCAGATTATGGGGAAGCCCACCAAGGTTCCATCTTCTTCCACCCAAAGCCAGACCTCCCAGAGCCAAGCCTAGCATAGAGTCGCTGGTGGGTGGTGGGAAGTGCGGCTACTCACCAGGAGACCACAGGCTTGGGTTCCCCCTGCACACGGATGCTCATGATGACATCTTGGCCTTCTCTTACTGACTGGTCCATAAGTGAGACCTGAAGCGGGTACCCCAAAGTGTCAGGGAGAGACAGTCAGGGCAGAGCCTTGGGTCCTGGGGGCTGTGGAATCTGAGATGGAGGCCTCTTCCACAGCCAGACTGAGACTGGCTCTGGGTAAGAGCGTTTAAATGAGAGCCAAGTTCCAGGTCTTGGTGCCTAAGCATGGCCCCAAGAACAAGGGGTCACCCAAAGGATCGGGGACACACAGGAGGCTGGGCCCCAGCCTCAGGGGTCTGACCTTGAAGGTGGGGGGTGCCTTGGAGCCAGTGTCAGAAGAACGGCGGTTCTGGCTGGGACTGGTCTTCATGGTGGGGGTTCGAGGCCAGGTCTCCCCAGGCTCTGGAAACTCCTCTGGAGGGCTCAGGTACTCCTCGTCGGAGGTGATGGGGCTGCTGAAAGGGGATGCAGATCCACCTGGAGAGAGACAAAGATAGCTGCCAGGGAGGAAGGCTCGCAGAGAGCCTGGGAGAGCTGGCTGGAATGTCGCCCAGAGACCAGGAGTTGCGGCAGCTCCCCACAGGCCAGCCCTGCCCGGACTTCACTCCCAGGCTCCTGTGACCCCGCCCAGCTGCTTCCCTTCCCTGAGCCCCTGGAACCTTGTCTGCCACTGGCTCTGCCAACACCGACCCTGCTGATCCTCCCGGGAGGGGACACCATAGGGAAAGGCCTGGGACAAAGGGTTCGGGCAGCAGAGGGGCCACTCCTGAGCCTGGCGGGAGAATTCCACTGGAGCAGGGAACCCACATTCCTGACATGGACTAGTGGCCTAAACTACCAACTGCAGGCTCTGAAAGCAGGGGGTGCAGGTCTATGGAACCCTGGAGCAGCATGGCTAGGATGCCCATTTCTTGGGCAAGCTGGGCCTGGTGCAGAGGAACACACACCACAGACAAGACACACCCTGACCTCGGTCCAGGGCCAATGAGGTGGCACCATCTAGCCTGCCCCTCCCCCTTTCCCTTCTCAGCTTCCTGCCGTGCAAACCCCAGGGGCACCTATTGGCCACAGCCCTACAGCCTGCACCCCCAAACGCTCGAGGGATATAAAAACAGAGCTGGAGTCATCCACAGAAAAGGGCAGCTCAGCCTGGGGAAGAGGAGGGGGGCACCAGAGTCAGCCTTGTGGGAGGGGTGTCCCCAGGGCCCTGACGCCCTCCCCTGCAACTGGCCAGGGGCCCAGTCTCGCTGAACTGGCTCCTATCCGACTGCCAAATACAGACATGAAACTGCCACAGCCCCCTGGCTTCTTCCCCAGGTCCCCCCACCCCCAAGCCCTCAGCAGGGCTGTACCCCAACTCACCCCGAGGCTCTGCACACAGACGCCCAGCCTGTGCCTGTCCTGAAGGCTCTGCCCTGGCACCAGGCCCTTCTGCTGCCTGCCCACTGCCCACCCCAGCCTGTCTCCCCAGGGAGCAGGAGCCCAGCCTGTCCAGCCTGCCCAGCCCCACTCACTCGGCTGACCCAGCTGAGGCCCTACACGGAGAAGGCCCTGGGGGAGGGGAAGGCGCCTGAGGAGGGGAAGGAGGAGGTTGGATGGCAGGCCGGCAGGCAGCTGGCTGGGAAGCTGGTGCCTGCCGAGACCACAAGCAGCCTGGGCCCTGGTGCAGAGGGGGAGGAGAGGGGAGAGGGGAGGGCGGAGTGTGGCCGTCTGGATTTAGCCACTCTGCTCACTCCCAGGCCCTGGGATCTGTCTTTCCTCTCCTTACAGCTTCGGACCCTGACAAGAGCAAAGCCCGCTCTGTAGCGCCTTGACTCAAGGTGTGGGGCCTCCGTCCCCGAGCAAGACAGGGGAGGGGTGGCACTGCACTGTGCCAATCGAGACGCTTGCCCTGATCCATTTGTTCTGACACATCCACCAAAGGAGGTGCCTGTGGGAAATGTTCCCTGTGTTGCCCCTTGCTCTGATGGAACCACCAAGATTTCTGATGTGGGAATGTGCTAACAAGTCTCAAATACTGCAGAGCCAGGGCATACCTGTTTTCTTTGGCCCCGAAAATCAGAGAACTGTCAAGACCTTTGCCCTCCTTCCCAGAGGTGGCGGAAGAATCTGAGGGGGCCCAGAATCCCACCTCTGCCCCTTCATCCCTGCCATGGAAGCTCTGGCCAGCAGCCACCCCAGGGCACTAAGCCCACATCCAGCCTTCCTACCCATTCCCCCGGGCACCTGTTGGCAACTTGCCCACCACCCATCAGCCCCGCTAGGGAGGACAGCGGGGGCTGCCTCCCCCAAATGGCCCCTCGTCATGAGCACCCATTTGTATCTGGGTTGGGGAAGGGGCTTGGACACGGAGCCTGAGAGAAAGGGGCTGTTGAGGAGGGGTCACATGTCCTTCTCCCTCTTCCTATCGCCTCACCCCCCACAGGGACACATTCCCAAGCCATGACCTGTGTTTCCCAGCATGGCCAGTGAGGAAGGAGGGCTGGGGGCTGGGCAGAGGAGGGGTCCATTGTTCAGGGGGGCTGTCTTGAGATAGGGTTGGGGAGGGAAGTCAGAATGGCATTTGGTGCTTAAGGCAGCTGATGGCTGAGATCACAGGCATGGCCCCGCAGGTGGGCGGTCCTACCCCTCTGTGGAGCCTGAAGTCCTGCCCCAGGGTCACCTCCAGGCTGGACAGTACTGAGGAGGCTCACAGGCCCAGGGACCAGGAGCGGAAGCAGAGCTGAAGACCAGATGGTCAAGGTTTGCAGGGAGCCTCAGAGACCCCTGGTGGTGGCCAGGGGAACATCATGCTGGAGGGCATCCAGTCACCAAGCGAGCCCCTATCCTCAAGCCCCTTGGAGAGAGAGACTGTCAGAGCAGCCCAGGCCTCTTCCAGACAAGGCAGTAGCCCCTGCCCCTCCACACCTCCAAAAGTGAGTGACCAAGGAGGCTGATCAAGGATTCCTGAGGCTCCACACCAGAATCTGGTGCCACCTAGTTTTTTCCCTGGCCCCATAGCCAAAACCATCTTTGGAACCAGTCCCTGACATCCCAGTCCTGCTCCACCCACAAACCCAACTCTCACTGTGGGAAATACAGTTACATCAGCCAGGAAGGAGGGGGCAGGTGCCCCCCTAAACCTAAGAGGCACATACACTCAATGGCCCTGAACAACCTGCCATGGAAGTACCGCCCCTTCACCCTGGCTCCCAGTCCCCCACGCAGACCCAATGCTCATGTCTGCCCTTCCAACATCACTCTCAGCTCAAACTCATTTGATGAAAATACTGGCATTAGGAAGCACACAGGGAACTCCCTCTCCTCAGACCAGCACATCCACCGGCCCCAACAGTTTCAGTGTCCCCTGATGTGTTCTCACAATAGACAGAATTGCAGCCACTACTGCGACTATCTAGTACATAAAAGGTGTCACACACGGCCCTTTGCTTCAGGGCTTCTCAGAATGATACTTGACCTACTCACATCAGGACCACCTCGGGCTCATTTAAAATATAGATTCTTCAACCTTACTCTAGCCTGCAGAATCAGATTTTCTGAAATGAGATGTCAGGAAACTGCATTTTAAAAAGCACCCCAGGTGACTCTTAGGTACATGAAACCTTAGGGACCACTGCTGACCTACATGGGAGGAGGACAGCCCTAAGAGGTGCCATCACTGAGCCCCTCATCACTGGGCCATTCAACCTCAGAGCAGGGCTTTGAACCTAGGAGGTTTGGCTCCACAGCCTGTGTGCTTCCCATGGCATGACCTGGCCTTCCATCTTGGGCACAATCTCTAACTCTATGGCAGTGGTTTTCAAAGTTTTCTGTTTATCAGAATCACCTGGAGGGCTCCTTAGACCACAGAGTGCTGGGCTCCACCCACAGAATTACTGATTCAGTAGGTGGGGGCTGAGGCCAATAACCTGCATTTCTTAGGAGTGCAAAACGCTTATTGGGAAAAAAAAAAAAAAAGAATCTGCATTTCTAACACAAACTCAGGTGAGGCTGATGTTGCTGGTCTGGGGGCCTCACTCTGAGGACCACTGCTCCATGGTCTTTTTCCCAAGCTCGCCTCATAGGCAGAGCCTCATGACCTTTGTGGCTGGGTGTCATGTCCAGCCTCACCTCTGTGAGTCACCCACGTTGTTCAAGGCCTTGAAAAGTCATGGGGGTCTCTGCCTACTCACTGCCACCTCACATGCAGCTCTGCAGTCCACACAGCCCAGCCCCTAACTGTTCAGAAGGGCCCCCAGGCCCAGCTGCCAGTGCTAAGGAGTGGCAAAGACACAGTCATGTCCTCAGGAGCCTTCCGGGTGGTGGGGAAGACAAGCCAGATACACATGCAACTATAAGAGCAAGCAGGAAGTATCAGGTAGCAAGAGAGCAGCAGGTAAGGGGCGTGGGAGTACAGAAGGCAGGAGATGACTTTTGGCTCAGGGAAGAGAGAACTGAAGGAAGAGGCAGTATTGAAATTGCAGTTTGCAGGAAAAAGGGAAAAATATTACAGGCAGAGGAAAGCGCATGCAGAAAAGTTTGAAGCAAAAGGCATGTGTGCAGAGGACTACAGCTCAACTGTCTGTCTATAAACTGGGTAAAGAAGTAAGGAGTGGGGCATCCACTGTTCAAGCACGTGCCTCCTACTGCCACCCAAGGGCCAGCCTCAGGCCTCTGCCTCCTTTTGCCCTATGGGTGCAGATGGTAGAGGCCACCCGAAGGTGTGCAGCCTTTACTCTGCAGGCAAGGTGGACTCCTTACAATTCTTTTTTGGTTTGTTTTTGTTTCTGTTTTTTGTTTTGAGACAGTCTCACTCTGTCGTCCAGGCTAGAGTGCACTGGCATAATCTCAGCTCACTGCAAACTCCACCTCTGAAGTTCAAGCGATTCTCCTGCCTCAGCCTCCCTCAGTAGCTGGGATTACAGGCTCCCACCACCACACCTGGCTAATTTTTGTATTCTTAGTAGAGACAGGGTTTCGTTATGTTGGCCAGACTTGTCTCAAACTCCTGGCCTCAAGTGATCCACCTGCCTTGGCATCCCAAAGTGCTAGGATTACAGGTGTGAGCCATGGACCCAGTCCATAAACAGTTTTTCTCCTTATGATTCTTGAGGAACGGAGTGATAGGCTGCAGGATAGCCAGCATTTGCCTGTGGCTTAGCCCTTCCCAGCTGGCCCTCCACATGCGCTGTTTCAATAAGTCCTCCACAGGCAGTTCTTGAAACGTCTGCTGTGGTAACCCCACTGTGGAAAAGTCAGGGAAAGGCAGGACATGGCTGGCCAGGAGGTGGGCATTTCCACAGGGTGCTGACATAAATATTTCCTCTTGGACTGAGAATGTTTCAGTCTTAGTTCAAAATGTACAAGCTGTCAGATCATTCCACATGGTCAGCCTGACCTAGCCCCAGAAGTGAAGTGATTAATTTTTCTTTTTCTTTTTTTGTTTTTTTTTTTTGAGACAGAGTTTCGCACTGTTGCCCAGGCTGGAGTGCAATGGC